TCAAGAAAAAAATCCAACGTACCTAGCTAATAAAAAAAGACATTCACATCATGATCCGGTTGTCCAATCAAATATTATTTCATGCTGGCCATTATTGATATATGGTGATCGTGCTTGAAATCACTCAGAACATTTTATGACCAATAGGAACAAGGACAAATTATGACACAGTAATTAAAAAATACAGCTGAAAATTATTCGGATCATTTCAGCTTAATAATCATTCAATTATATGAATATATTGGTATCGAAGGCAGCCAATGAGGAAACCTAAACAGGAAACGACAATAAAAAATAAGCGAGAATCAACCATTCTAATAAATTGATCGAATTCATTGCTGATTATCGTGCAAGCAGAATCATTTCAAGCATAGATTTTTCAAGGCATCACCGTATCACTTCAGTGAAATCTCTACTGGAACCAATCTTAAGGCTATTATTTCCAGCTGCATTCTCCCATGAGACAATTTTTTCTTTTGCACTATTTCATACTTACAAGCATTCTTTGCTCTATGCCTTGTATACAGGGTGTCCCAAGTCTATTTAGACAGTAAACTAATGGAGTTATATTCCGAAAAGATAGAAATCGAGTACCTAATCATTCTGTACGAATTAATCAGGGCCGGCCCATTCATATAGGCGAACTAGGCGACGGCCTAAGGCGCTCTTATTATAGGGCTCGGCAATCGACGGCATCAAGATTGTGAAAAAAATTATTTACAGCTTGTAAATACTCCACCTTCACCAAAATTAAGACAAGAAGAATAAATCTCACCCAACTCCCAACCTATCGTTTTTTTAAGTTTTACTCAGCATACGTCGAAAAGGAAGGTGCGTATACATTCATTTTATCAGATTTTTTTGGAACTTTTTCAACTCGTTTCTACAAATAAAAATATATATGTACTATTTCAATATTCCTGTAGGACAAACAAATCAGAGGATTTTTCCCAAAATGTCACTGTGTTTAAAAAATTGTCCCATCAGTGAGCCTACAAATATCCAATCAATTGTCGATCAGGGACACCTTTTTTTTCAAAAATGTCATCTGATTCCAGAAAAGTTGAAAAAATGCAGGAGTGCAGTGTGATATAAACAAAGTGAAGGTTTTTATAAGTTTTATGCACTTCATGGATTCAAACGGTACCTTTATTCCCTATTTTCAGGGAAAAAAGTGGTACTTTGAATCCCTAGGGATTTAAAGTGAATTTCTTTGCAATAAAAGCTATCATGTAAATTCAGAGACATATTTTCAAAATGTCTTGCGATTGTGGCTTTTCTACGTTCCGTTCTTTACACCATTCGATAAACTCAGATAACTGTTTTTCACATTGTTCTCCAGATTATCTTGATAATAATTGGCCTTCAGCTTCTTGAGCTGCCTTTTCGATTTGTTCCATCGCGATCAACGTCTTTCAATCGGTGTGGAATGTTTGACTAATATTTATTTATTTATTTATGTTTTACTTAGTTACTTGTCATAATACACCAAGATTTTCAGTTGACGATGACAATCATGATCTGGATCACCATAGTTACTGAGGTCGTTGATATGGTAAAAATCGGCCCCTTCGATGATGTTTAAGAAATAGAGTAGCATCTAATTTTTTTTTTCGTTATTTTTTTTACCTATCCTGAAGTGCATAAAATAGTGTGTACACCTCAGGACTATAGTGTTTTTAAATCCCTCGACAAATTAGATTATCTTCTGTAGTCTATGCCTTCTGTTGGTCGGGCTATAAACTTTTTGTCTCGGGATTTAAATTACCACTCTATTACCTAGGTGTGAAGTGTACTATGTTTGGGTAGGGGTTGTTTCAGAGAATTCTATTTGTAATAAAAGGTCTAATTCGATATCAATTTTTTCGGATAATGATTTTTTCAACAGTTTCCGAGTCTGGATAGGGTTGGGACACCCTATATATGCCTACTTATTCTTGCAAAGATAATTGACTGACTTGTTGAATGTAATCGTGAGATTCAATTGGAATGCATTTTCATTCTCCACTAAAAATACAGTTATATACCGGATGGCCCACTTGAGACTATATCCACCCTCGATAACTATAAAAAAACTGATTTGACAAAAAAAAAATAACAAAGAATCTTGTTGTTCTGAGAATACATTTTTGATAGGTAATACATTTTGTACATCAATTTACTCACAAAAAACACAAAAAACTTTGCACAACTAGTGTCAGAATGATAAATTAACTTTACATTGACAAATGACACGACTCTATTATTCGTTATTAAAATTATAGAGGGTTGTTCTAGGGAGTAGGGTATTGAAGTATGTGTGTATAGTGGCCAGGTAGCCACGCGGTAGAAGCAGTGCAGTATTCTAATCGCGATGGCTTGAAAAATTATAGAACAACCAAGGAATCTCCCTACAAATGAAAATTGATGTGCCATGGCGATTTTTGTTAAATAATTTTTTTGGGAGTTTGTGAGGATGGATAGTCTCAAGTGGACAACCCGGTAGATTGTTGATTCTATCGTCCTGTTATGTTTACCGATCATTCAATCATATCCGAATGGATTCCTGACGTCGTGAAACAATTGGAAAATTTTATTTTTCAGTAGAATTTGCTCAATATAGGGTGCAAAGTACAGAAGACAACTCATTCAATTATTGGTATTTGTTAATATTGAATTGATTTGTGTATCTCCTCAAGTAATTAAGTATGTTCGGTCAATTTATTTATTATTGATATTTAGTCATAAGTGAAAAATATGTTCAATTTAATAATATTAAAATAAAAAAATAAAAAAATATAAATATAATAAGATGCTGGAGGATGTCATCTATACTACGATCTTTTATCATTCACGATTTCTATAATACTATATCAATTGTTTAAATTTCACTTTATGGATTTTCACTCGATATTGTTATTGAACAAAAATAGCATATTTATGAATGGTTATGAGATTAATTTTCACAGCAGGATACAAAGATTGAATTGATTATCTAGAATAGTGATTATTGAATGTACATATCGATCATTTTATGTGATAGATTTCAAAAAAAAAAATCGCGGAAAATAATCTTATCATTTGGACTTATTACATTCTATTCTGAGAAATGCTTGATGACGATGAACAAATTACCGGTATAAATTTCGAATCCAATCCCGTCCAAATTCCACGAAAACCTTTAAACCCCAATTAAAGTATACTGAGAGCCCGATGATGCTATTCGAAACCATATATACAGAGAAGTGCACAAAAAACGGCCAGTGCTGTATCTTCTGAATCATTAGAGGTCGGTGATTTTGAAATTTGGTGGGTACACCAAATTTCCTCTCATTGACAGAAATATAAATAGTGACAGAACAAAAATTTTTGACTGACAGTTTTTTGTGCAATTCTCCTGTATAGTGTTTAATTCGTTTATTTAGAAAACTATACATTTTGATTTTTTATACGCAACATCTGCAGGGCTATTCATGCAACTTTCACTTTTTTCCGGTTATATTCGAATGCCTCCGATATTTTTTCAGATATAGGTAGATTCGATTTATGGTGATATTTTGGGAGACTTTCTACTATACAGGGTGTTTCAGAACTCAGCATCAACATTTCAGGGGATTATTTTTCAGGTCAAAAATGAGACTTTTTTCCCTACAAACATGTGTCCTCAACGTTTCGTGACTGATCTATAGTGAGCGTTGAAATTTCAAGATTTTCAAGCATTTTTTTCATAGCTCTTTCAGTTTTCGAAATTTTTAGGTCATATTTGAATTTCGCTACGTTTTAAGGCATATCGAGTGATTGTGAAAATATACAGGGAGATATTTTTTCAATAGGTGGGGCCCTTTTCTGCTCCATAAACTTTTTTGTGGTGCGCCACTGGTAGATTTTGAAATAGATTAGTTCTGTTTATAAACTTTTTTGTGTCTTGTATTCTTTACGCATCTGCGACCGATATCGCGAAAAAAAATCATTTTTGGTAATTTGCCAGATACAATAGATATTTTTAACAAAAGGGAGGAATCTTATTTACCACAATTTACAAAAAACTCTACATATTATTATTTAGTTTGTGATCCTAAAACATTCATAGAATATAATGGAATATTCTATAGGAGCGTTCCTAGAATGTATTCATATTAAATATTCTATGAATATTCTCGTAGAACTTTCTATGAACATTCAGAACATCCTTAACATATTCTATGAATATTCTGAAGGAGGTATGTTGTGAGAACATTCATAGAATATTGTATGATGTCTGGGAATAAGAATATGATATTTTCGGGGTGTATTCGACATTCCTTCCACTATTTTATCTCTCATTTCGTTATAGATGAAAATGTTGACGCCAAATAAGAGGGTCGGATAGTAGGTATACTCGATTCTCGATGAAATTTTGAAAATGAGGTATCACAACAACCCCTTTTCCCTATTTAAAATACTGGGGTTGAAGTTACGGGGATGAAGAATGCGTCGTTCCCCCTCGGAATCGGAAAGCGACGAGTCCCAGGTTTTTTTCGGATTTTCATTTTAAAGCCTTGAAATCGGGGTGTAAAGTATTCGTTGGACCACCCTGTATATATCAGTTATTTTTCCTAAAAACTTGAACGAAATTAATTCTCCACCCGGCATTTCGATCGATTTTCGTTGACATCGAATTCCCTGCAGAATATCAGTCAAAAAATAATGACGCAAGAACCCAGACTATTACTACTTCATCTATCGTATATAATTATATATCTGTTGGTGGCCTACTGTACAAATTCCTAAGGCAGGCAGGCCTTTGATCTCCGACCAATCAAATACGGAGGCTCGTCAGTTGTTATCTACGTCAACTCTCGTACCATAAATATACACCTGTCGTCGCTGAAAATGTATCAGTCTGTATCTTGAGCGCATGTACACAGATTCGGTTTAACCGCGCACCACAAGTATCCAAGTTATTTCGCGCCATAGTCAATTCAAATTTATTTTTGTCCGCAGGGAAAACGTGTCATTATAGTTGAGAATTTTCTATTGAAATGGTTTCAAGAAATTTCGCCCGAGACTTAGTGATAGGCAGTGTTGTCCTCATGAGTTTCGTTTTTGAGATATGCATATCGAACGAGATCCTTCCGCCACCTTGCTTCAGGTAAGAACTTGTTTGGGCTATTTTGAAAAATATCTTACCGACTTGGATGTTACAGTGAAATATACTGCCATGGTCGGCTATTGGACACAATTCAAAGAGCGAAAATCCATACAGACTCCAAAACATTTGTTGATATGAAACTGAAACATTTGCCCAATGAAACTCTTCATCTCTTCGACCAGTTCATGACCAGATTCCACCAAAAACCTGGCAAAGCCGACGTTGATAATTTCGTTAAAGTCAATTTCGAACCAGAAGGAATGGAATTTGAAGATTGGGACCCTCAGGACTGGATACCGCACCCGAAATTCGTAGATGGGATCAAAGATCCCGAATTTAAAGAATGGGGATTATCCCTGAATAATATCTGGAAAAACCTTGGACGCAAAATGAAGCCTGAAGTCAAAGAGGACAAGGACTTGTACAGTATCATTTGGGTTCCACATCCTGTTATAGTCCCTGGCGGTAGATTCAGGGAATTTTACTATTGGGACTCCTACTGGATCATCCAAGGACTACTGCTTTCCGAAATGAGTGATACTGCCAAGGGAATGCTGCAAAACTTCCTTTACATGGTTGATAACTACGGCCTCATCCCGAACGGTGGTAGAGTCTACTATCTAGCTAGATCCCAGCCACCCATGATGCTGCCCATGATCAAGCTGTACCTAGATTATACCAACGATGTGGATTTCATCAGGACCAACATAGGCACCATGGAGAAGGAATTCCGTTTCTGGATGAACAACCATACGAGGACGATTGAAGTCGATGGAGTAAATTACACTCTGGCTTTGTATGGGGACAGATCTAGGGGCCCAAGGCCAGAGTCCTACTCGGAGGATATAGAGAGTGCTGCTTTCTTCGAGGATCCTCTCAAAAAGGAAACATTCTATTCGGAATTGAAAGCTGGGGCCGAGTCCGGTTGGGATTTCTCTAGTAGGTGGTTCATCAATGACGCTACAAATAAAGGTGAGTCAAATCCGAGACTGTCGAAAACTGTTCAATCAATTATATTTCCGTTTCAGGTAACCTGACAACTATAAAGACCAGATCCATAGTTCCTGTAGATTTAAACGCAATTATTTATTGGAATGCTGCTTTGCTCTCCGAGTTCCACGAGCTACTGGGTAACGAAGAGAAAGCTCAGCATTACAGTGACATAGCTTCTAGATGGATGGAAGCAGTAGAAGCCGTGCTGTGGCACGAAGAAATAGGTTCCTGGCTGGACTACGACACCATCAACCAAGTGAAGAGAGACTTTTTCCACCCAACGAATATCGCCCCTCTTTGGACCGGGTGCTACAATACCGCTAACAAAGACAATACGGTGAGAAGTGTGCTCAAGTACCTCCAGAACAAGAACATTCTCTACCCTGGCGGTATCCCCACAACGGTGGAACACACGGGAGAACAGTGGGACTATCCCAATGCATGGCCACCTCTCCAGCATATGATGATAGTGGGCCTCAACAATACTGGCGATGAGCATGCTAAAAGACTGGCCTACGAAATCGCCGCAAAATGGACGAGGTCGAACTACAAGGCATTCAAACAGTCTGGTGCTATGTATGAAAAGGTATGCTAAAATGACCTTGACTGAGTGAACATGAATTTGTATCAGATATTTCTCTGTGTGTGCTGTGTCGACATTATATTTGATAATCAGTCTTTGTTTGCCTGGAATTGGAGTAAATGATTTATTGCAATGTTTGTTAGTAGGTAATTTTGGCTGATTAATTTTTTTTTCAGTATGATGCAACAGTTAGTGGTGGCCATGGAGGTGGTGGTGAATATGAGCTCCAGCAAGGTTTTGGCTGGACCAATGGAGTGATAATGGATCTGCTCTATCGATATGGGGATGATTTGACGGTTGAGGATCCTGAACCAGCAGTGAAGTCGCAGAATAGCCAGAGTAGCAGTTCAGCTTCTTCCAGTATTACTTCCATAACAACGGCATTGATAGCTCTGCTAGTGTCTCTTACAGCTGGATTCATAGGGTGAGGTAGGTTTGTTGAAGTTTTTCGTTTCATACAGTATATCTAACTAGATCTTTTTATGTTTCAGGACAGTTTTTACACGATCGCTAGAATCTCGCTTGAATATTTTGGAAAATATTCGGGGGTATCTCGGCTGAAGCGATGAGTAGAAAAGCATATCCATTTGCAGTAATAATGTTATTCCATATTCATGATTTTTTTCAACCGTGATACGTGAAATCGAATAGAATTGATATTTAAATAAAAAAAAAATGAATATGCAATAATACCCATCATTCGCCTAAATCATTCTGGCATAACAATTTGTAACCAAGCCTAATATTGATGATAAGTTTTAATTTGACAAATATGATACTCATTTATTGTTTCATTGAAATTTCCTTAATTTTTATATTCTCAATTAAGACCAATAATGATGTGGCAGATTGAATGAATATAAAAGACGTTCTGAAATTCGTCAAGAAACTTGACCTTCAAACATCATCTATTTGTGATATTAATGAATAATTATAAAAATCCATTGTATTGGCTGGACATATTCTAGTTACTACATACATATCCACTTGAATAGTATTATATAATGTGATGTATTTTTTTATTTATTTAATGCAATTATTTTGCATAATTCTGTACCTGCAAATGTTTTGAGCATGTTTAGTTTCATACTAATAGGTGATAATAACCAGTGGAGTATGTGTTTGTATGAAATTAATATTTAATAGGTACCTATATAGATTCAAATAATAAAATCAATTATGTGTATTCTAATAAATTGGTGTGTGTTGCTTGTCTGATACTCGAATCCTTTAACAGAATATTTATTTCAACTGAGGCACTAACACTAAAAGTCCTATTCTTTCAAGAAGGAATTGAAATGATTTCTTAAAATTTCATTTTAGTCTTGATGTTTAAATTTCCTAAAATATTTCAATGTCTTATTTTTTTCTGTGATCAACTAACAAACTAGAACTGGAACTAACAATAAAAGCAATCAATCCTGCAGATTATATCCTATAAATGTTAATAGGTACAAAGCTGATATACATGCAGGCAGATATAATTATCAATAATCACCAAAATGTGAAGAAATAACATAATTGTAATGAAAGCAATGTTATAATTCAATTGATAGAGACCTTGAATGGTAACATTACTTGCCTTCGGGAATAATCGGTTTTTCGTTCGGAAATTAGAACGTAAAATGTAATTTTTTGTAAAGGTCGACGAGTAAAATCGTCAATTCCATTAATGTGCTAATGATGCTATCAATAGATGCCAAAAATTTGCAGCCTTGTTGCTATAGTTGGGTGTTTTGAATCTTATAAATATTCAGTAGGATACATTCCTATCATTTTTTGCTAGATGTATTATTATCCAAATTATGGGTAGTTTTTTTGCATTTTTCAGCATTCCGATTGTCCGTTGAGATAACATTTTAAATACCGGTAATTTTTACGTAATATGTTTGATCATATACAGGTTGTCCCGAAATTAGCATGCCAAACTTCACCAGCGGCATTTATGACCAAAAATAGGAAGATGAGTTTCAATTAACATGAGTCGATAAATGTCTCCTAAGGGCGAGCTACGGCCCCCTGAAAAGGGACTCCTGAAGATGCCTTTTCTTGAATATTTCCGATTCGCCTTATGATAAAATGATGCAAATTGGTGCTTGAACTGAATAACTTTAATTCCATACCCAATGCAGGGAAAATAAAATCATTCAGGTATGTATAATACTGGGTGGGACAACATTAAATATTGATCAAACTTTTTTGTATGCTTTTTTTTTTCAACAATTTAATCTCGGCCTATGCAAATCCACACCCCTTTACAGAAAAAAGGGTACTCTTGTCCATATCGACCAGATGTATCATTTTTGAACAAAATCGATTCAAAAATATCATTACATATCACATTTCATGCATAACGTTGCCATTTTCAAATCATAGTGGCTATACAAAAATCAACCACTTTCTTTTACGAAACAATGTCATAGAGGCGCGTAAAATAGGAAAATAATGATGAGAAACTACTTCAACTTTTGTGCATTTCTTCTCCATATCCACTACGATTTATTGCAGTGTTCTGCATAATATGTGAGATATAACGATATTTTCAAATCTTATTCACTCGAAAATGATACATCTGATCGATATAAAGAGAGCACCTTTTTTGTAAAGATGTGTCGATGTTCATAATCCGAGATTAAATTGTCGAAATGAATGAGATTTTGGAATAATTTTATTTCCACTGCATTGGGCATGGAACTTTTAGTTCTTGTACCAAATTGCATCATCTTATCTTATGGCGTTTCGGTAATATTTGAGAAATATCATCTTCAGGAGCCCCCTTTCAGGAGGCCGTAACTCCCTTGGTAGATATTCATCGACTCATGTTCATTGAAACTTGTCTTCCTATTTTTGGTCGTAGAAGCCACTGGTGAAGTTTGGCAGGCTAATTTCGGGACACCCTGTATATCTCGCAGACAATTTGCTGTGAATTATCTCTTTTGGCAACATTCATTATGATGTTTTTTCATACCTAATATGTATGATCAACAACAACAAAATAATTGCCAGGAGCATTCTAAAACATGAGATTGAGGGCCATTCTAACATGTCAAATTTACACCATCTCACTAATATTACTTATATTTGTTTGTCATCTTTCTTCACAGGGTGTTAATTTACAAGAGAAGAACACAAAAATCTTCTGCTATTTTGGACAACAGAAGACCGTCGACTGCAAAATACACAGAGCTCAGAAATATGCCTAATATTGATAAAAACATGAGGTGAACTGACCATACTGAAAGCGACTGAAAAAATAGATGCATGCATCAGTGCCATTAGATTAGAATTTGCAGGATCGGACTCATCTAAATAAACCAAGAAAATGTGATAATATATTAGATAGAAGATTATGGAGATCGCGAAATGTAAAGCAGCCTTGAATAAATGTGATGAAAACTTGGGAACCTGAATCCGATCCTGAAATTTCGGCCATTTCTTGTTTAAAAATATCACGAAAACGATTAGATCTCCAGATGATTTGTACAAAATTTATATTTAATATTATAAAGCCACTTTTAACAGAACATTGATTCTACATAGGAGGTATATGCTCATCATTTCTTGGAAATGAATCAATTGTAAAATGCAACAGAAACATAACGAATATCTAGAAATTGATAAAATTAATCTCATGATAAATTATTTGGGTGAATTTAGGCCGTTGATTGTACTAGCATAATTTGTATACAAGGGGGGGTTGTCCGTCGATCGGAAACGCACATGATAGTAATTTCAGGAACCATAATTGGATAGGTCCTCAATGATTTTTTTTTCAAAATTACGGTTCCAATTACTTACTTCTGGTTATCCAATGGGTATCAACTTATTTATCATTGTTATGTCTCTAAGATAGTTCAAATGACTTCGACTTAATATGTGCGTTTTGGATAGGATGGAGTGGCGTAAAAATATGGTATATGTTTTTTTTATCAAAAGTATTATCGAGATTTGTAGGTATATGTTGAGATGTAATGTTCTAACTACTTGGAAAAAAATCCTTTCATTTCATTTCACCAGGTAGGTACCATATATGTTAATTTTTAGTTCGGACATGTTAGAGCATGAATATTATTTCTAAGGCAAAAGCCCTCTTGGAATAAGCCATATTATGTGATATTTCAAAATTCTACTATTGTACAAACCTATACCTATATCTAGGAAGGTTTTCGAATATTTGATTAGAACAAAGATCTCATAGTGGTGTAATATTGGAATGAATATTATATCAAGGTATCGAAAACTCATGCATACATATATTGGACTGTTATTTATACACCAAGGTAGAAAAGAATATCATTATCCAGGGACCAAGATATAGGTATATCTCGAGGCTTCAGCTGAGGGTTCCGTGTGCGTAATAATATTCTTTACTACCAAGGTGTATATTACATTTTTTTCCACCACTATAGCAATATAGTTTCAATCATATAGTTGTGATGTGAAATCATAGATCAGTATAGCCATGACCATGACAGCATATGACAAGTCGTTATTGATAAATAGCTACTACATTCGACTAACATTCCTGCAAATCTAGCATCAGAACAGTGGATTTCTGGTCAATTATAACAGAGATAACGGCGGAATAGCGCAGTGGTTGACGCGCTTGACTAGTGATCAGAACATCGAAAGGTTACTAGGTTCGAATCCCCGGTAAAGCAGACAATATTTATTTATAAAATGCGTTATAAATTCTGATTTTCGTAGCTTCGGCCGGAGGTGATTCCGCGAGAATCACTGGTGCGTTCCAATTAACAGTGCTGCTCCTAAGGTGCCATATGGAGTTAGTAACAAAGCCTGCACAGAACACACATGGTGAAGGATCTTTCGTAAGGTCGATGGCCAGTTGGTATGTATATACATACCAACAAGTACATATAATACTACTACTACAACAGTTGACTTTTTTTACTAGTAGTTCATAAAATGACGCAAACAATCTTGGTAGAAAAAACAAACGCAAAGGAGTAAATATAACGGCAGGTTCTATAGCTAGTGGTGGAAAAAACAAAATTAAGTGCCTATAATAGTATCAAATGTTTTTTGGATCTGTATGAATTCAAGCTTCTATAGTTAATATATTTATTTAATTTTATTATTGTTATTGAAATTGTTATCGGATATGGAATATCCCGTTTTTAATCTATTGAAAGAATTGAATAGTGTTGAAATTTTGTGATACCAATTTAATTTAATTTGGTTGTTATTTATTCTCGAATATATAGGTACTCTTTTGATGAAAGAAATTTCGAAATAAATTTCTTCATAGAAAACTTGTTTCATTATCTACATCACTATGGGGGGATTGAATTATTTGTTGTTCTGTTCTCCCTTGTTTTTTGAAGTTAGGTAGTTAGGGCACAGACCGCGGCACCTCTCCCACGGCGAGATATGTTTAATGACCGTCATCCTCTCCATCAATAAAGCAGCCGTAGCAAATTAGCAATATCAGTCTTTCCGAGATATCCCCTCCCTAGTTCAGTCATTATTATATATTCTCGGCTAAAAGTTTTTTCGATGTAGGAAATTTTAACATGAATTTATTCATAGAAAATTTTTTTTATTTCCATTAGCCATAATTATTCATCATATATTGTACTATAGATAACTAAATTGATCGAATATTAGAAAAGAGAAATATTCTGTTCTCCCTTGTTTTCCGAAGTTAGGTGTCAAGTCACTGAATATCAAAAAATAGGAAAGGTATCTCCCATACAGTAATGAATTTGCGTCTTCACAGTGCCCACCTGATGTTAGGTTAGATATTTGTTATTTTCATTTCAATGCTAAATCATCCGAGACTCACGAGTCCAAAAGACATATTAAGGTATCGACCGACTTATGAGTTTCATGATGTCTGATTGTTGGATATTTGGTGTCCAAGAGCTGAAATCATGATAAAATTGGCAAGGTGATGATTCCGATACGTCATCTGGTGGGCACATTTGAACCAGTTATCAGGACATTCAAGGTCATTTTTGTTATTGTTTGTTTATTCTGTTCATTTATTTGATATTTAATGTAATTCATTCTACAAATTGCTTTGATTTTCTTTTCATGATTTTCTTGAGTACAGGACAAGAACTTCATATTAATTACCGACACAATTCTACATTATTTTATAAATCATGAATCAACATCAGTCAAAAACCAAGAAATCAACTGTGTTCTGTTGATGGTTGCACTAGTAAACTCAAGAAGTCTTTTCTGAAAATGAAAAATCAGTTGAGTTGGATGGAAAAATGGATAATCGTGGAGCATCGAATGTGAATTTGAAAACTGGATGTATGAATATGTACCTTCTACAAAAAACTTCCTATATCCATAACCTTTTTCCACTTTCATTGCTCCAATTAATGAAAATAAGGTAAAGTTGTGATTCATAGCTATATATATATTATTACTGATTATCAACTATTTGTCGTAGTGCCCTTCCGAAAGAACATGATTGAAATGATCAACAGTTCATATTTTGCATGAAAAGTTTCTGATGAAGTCTCCAGAAACTAGGACTGGGAAAAATGAATATGTCCCTTTCTCTTTCAAATACCTATATTGTGATAATGGACTTTTGAATTGCAATACACAAGGGTGGACAAGAAAGATTACATTGGGAAAATGTGCAGGTCAGTATTTTATAAATGCTTAATTGTCTTCTCTGAATCATATTAAGATAATATTCATGATATCCTGCCTAGGATTTTATAGATTCCTATCATTGTAGTATCATTTCTATAGTAATGATAGCCAATAGAAGCATTTCACCTTGATTCAAACAATTCTGTACAACCAACAGATCAAATATCTAGGTATTTATAAATGTTTATGACCATATACTCACATCTTTTTAAATTTTCATCAGCAAGGAAGAAAAGTTGTCATTCAGATTCCAGGATATCTTGCAAATGAGTGGGAAAAGCTACAAAATGTTTAACCAAAACCCAGATTCATAATATATAATCAGTTGTTTCTTATTTCTGGTCATTCCTTGAAATTGAATTCAAGTTTAAGGAGATATTGGATGATTATTTAGGTAGCTGACCATATCCTTTGTATTTCAAATTGTATCTTGGAAATATAGATTCATAATTTTGTTGCTTCTATGTTTTTATCAAACTGTATCTTATTGGTAACCCATATAGCACATGTACGTCCAATGAATGTCCATCAGATGTACAACATGGACATAATGGACGTCCATTGAACGTCCAGTAGTGTACATTCGAACGTCCAGAAAACGTCCACAGCTCACTGGATTTAACATCTTATGGACGTACATTCATGATGTCCAATGGACGTACATTCAAGATGTCCAATGGACGTACATTCAAGATGTCCAATGGACGTACATTCAAGATGTCCAATGGACGTAAATTCAAGATGTCCAATGGAAGTACATTCAAGATGTCCAATGGACGTACATTCTGAATATTCAGTGGACGTACATTCAGGATGTCCAAATGAACGTACATTCAGGATGTACAATATGGATATAATGGACGTCCAGTTATGTATATTCAAACGTCCAGAAAACGTCCACAGCTCACTGGATTTAACATCTTATGGACGTACATTTATGAGGTCCAATGGACGTACATTCAAGATGTCCAATGGACGTACATTCAAGATGTCCAATGGACGTATATACAAGATGCCCAATGGACGTAAATTCAAGACGTCCAATGAACGTTCATTCGTAGATGTTCAGTGGACGTACGTGCAGGATGTTCAATGGAAGTACATTCAGGATGTTTGAAGGATGTACCTTGTGGATGTCCATTAGAGGTGTACATAGAGCGTACTATCAGGATGTTCAGTGGACGGACACTGAAAGCAGTCCAGTCAATAGATGTCCATTCTCGACGTCCAATAAATGTCTATTTATAGCGTCCAATGAATATTAATAACTCGCCTAGTCATAAATAATATACAGGGCATCAAAACAAACGAGCATCGAAAAATTCATAAGGTTTTTTAGGATATTTCGAGGTCATAGGAAAAGTATAGTATCTATGTAATGCAGTTATAAACTTATCTGGATATTCATATATTTCAAACACACATACTCCACTACATCTCATTCATGAAATACTAATAGGATCATAACACTTATTGTATAGATATTGTACTAATGCATAATGTATTGAATATCACATGTATTATGTACATATTCCTGAGAAAAATGGAAAACAGAATACAAAGTAAATGAAATATATGAACTGTCAAACATTGATAGAAACTGAGAAAAAAACTCCAAACAAAGTAACATAAACGAATACATTCACATATTATATGGTCATGTACTATTTCAATGCATAATATATTGATGAAAATCTCATATATTGAATATTACATTATTCAGTACATATTTCTAAGAAAAACGCAAGACATAATAAAAAGTAAATAAAATATATAACCTGTTGAGTCATTGATAAAAACTGAGAAACAAACTCCTAACAAAGTAACATAAACGTTTACATTCCCATATCACATGGTCATGTACTATTTCATTGCATAATACAGGGTGACCCAGGGTTAAACCGCCAAAACGTCAGGATCAGTGTTTTAGTTTACTTACTTTATTCTAGAGATATAGGGTGTCAAAATTTTTGAAAAAATCAGTTTTTCATTAATTACTCAAAACTTTGTGCTGATTTTGATGAAACTTGACATGCTCATTTGAGTTTTATCAAAATCAGCCCAAAGGTTCTTGAGTGATTAATAAAAACAGATTTTTATAAAAACTTTGACACCCTATATCTCTAAAATGAAGCAAGTGAGGACATATGCTTATAGGAAGAAAAAGGCTTATTTTTGCCTAAAAAACTGATCCTAAACGTTTGGCGGTTCGACCCTGGGCCATCCTGTATATTAATGAAAATCTCATACATTGAATATCACATTATTAATAATGTATATATAAAATATATAACCTGTTGAACAACAACATTTGATAAAAACTGAGAAAAAAACTCCTAACGTAACATAAACGTTAACATTCCCATATTATATGGTCATGTACTATTTCATTGCATAATATATTAATGAAAATCTCAAACATTGAATATCACATTATTCAGAACATATTCCTCAGAAAAACGCGAGGGAATATAAAGTAAATAAAATATATAACCTGTTGAGCAACATTGATAAAAACTGAGAAAAAATAATATACTTATAAGTACACTATTGGCCCTTCCTTTCATTAGCTCTTCGGAGCCATTTTGAAATGGCTTCTTCAACCTCCTTGCGATCTGCTTTCTTTGAATGATTAGCAGCTTCTATAAAAAAAAGTTTGATTTAATTCTGCTGTTGCCTTCATAGCAATGTTATTGTTAGGTGGAAGATGAAAAAGATCACCGAAATGCTAGAACTATCTTAAGTCAGATATAAATTAGTTGAAGTTGTACTTTGAGATATATTTGGGAGATATTAGGAAGATATGTAGTTATCATGATTTTGTATCATTGTATTGTAGTGTTTGTGTTCAGATGAATCGTATAAAGTTTTCTACTGAGTGTTTGTGAAAAACCGAACCCGGACTTTATTGTTACATTATCATACCAATTTTTACATGTTGTGTAGATACTTCTACTGGTATTATGTCAGATTCAGATTGGTGTAAATACACTTTACACCCAAGAAATTTGATTTTCAACATTAGAGTTGAAATATTTCAATCATGTGCAATCCATGGACAACAATGTTATTTTCGATGATTTTTGTTTCAATGAATACCTGGTGTAACATGTAAGTATGTTAAAATATTTCAATGATGTATTCCTGAGACGATTTAAATATAAAAGTCCATATAAAAAACTAGTGTCTGAAAATGATTCGTTTCAGAGATACGGGTGTTGAAATTGATTTTTTATTGTTTTTTTATCAATATAAGAGTTTTTATTATGACACTGGTTCAGTTTCTAAAGCTCATAAGAACTCCACCAGTATATAAAATAATAACCTAGATATTTTACTTACTGATTAATAATTCAGACAGCTTCAAAATGCTGAAAGATCCTTTTTGTTTTCTTCCTAGGAAGCTGTATTTAGAAGCAAACTTATTAGTGACCAAGAATGTCATCGCACGTTTGACAAAATCATAAACATTATGGCCCCCAATATTTGCAAGTTCAGGGACCTAAAAAAAATAATTTCAAACTAGAAACATACTCACTGGAATATATTTTCAGGTGAATAATGTATTGATGAATAATAAATTAACAATAAAACTCACCGCATTCTGAAAATTCTCGTCTATAATCAAGTAACTTTCCACTGTCTCAAGTGTAGCCTCATCATTGATGGGGAAAGAAAACTTCAAGAAAAACGATTCCTCTGCACTGTGCAAAACTTTGGTCGACAATGTCGATTTTATCTCTGTCAGGTCAGTTTTCATGTCTGCCATGATGTTGGTTAGAAACACGTATTGTTTTTTTATTCTCTTGATTTCATCATCTACAACATTAGTGGTATTTTAAAATGTACATACAATACTTTCGTAAAGTACTGAAAATACCCATTTCTGAGGAATCTCCTAGAATAGGTCGATTTTTAATCTCAATTTGCCAAATTTATACAGAAAATTGAATATATTGGGTGATCAACGTTTGATAAATGGAGTCCGCGACGATTTTTTTCAGATCACCCTGAATGTTACTGCATTTTTGGAATCTCCATAGAAAGCTGAATTCAAATATTAATCACACATACGGTTCATATACAGTGCGTCCGTAAATGTCATTAGTCTCGGTAAAGTAGTGGTCGAATATAAAATCAAAGTACAATTTTTGAAAAAAAAAAAAAAAAACGCTCATCAACGTCGAGTTTTACTACTATTTGAACATTCTTTTCAAGGAACGCAATTATTACAAGCATATTTTTGAATATTTTAAATTTAAAAATATTTAGGTGTTCCATTATAAAAAATTGAGGCGGACGGCGTAACTCGAACATTTATTACCCTGTATTTTCATTTTTCCTCATAACTGTAGCAAATGAAGATCAAAATTCGACCTATTACATATCTAACAAATTAATAGTTTGGCTGAAAATGATTTTATTCAGTACTTTATGAAAGCACTAAAAAGCTTTAAGAACTTTAAATTGAATAGTGTACCTGCACTTATTCCTTTGTGATATGGACAGCAGCTACATGTGCCAGAAGTGGTGGAGGGAACAGCATCAACTATAAAAAACCATTTCTCATCAAGTATTTCTTCAATTCAACATTTAATAAATTCATGGTGTTTCAGATTGTAATCAGAAGAATTCAAAAGGCGATTGAACTAGAGAAAATGAAAAAGTTCTTGAAAACTAGTAAGTTTTGGAGCTTCATTTTTGAAATAAAAAGTGTTAAAATTTCTTCAAAAAATAAATGTGTTTTCACAGCTAAAAAAACTCATCTGAATATCTTTGTACTCAACAAGTCTGTTTGTAATTTGAAAATATTTTTTATGGCGTAACTAGATTCACATATTCCTGTGGGGGGAGAGAGGGTTACCTGACTGATGGTAAAAATTATTGTGCACCATATTGCTTTTCCCAAGTTTACTATCATTATTTGATATTTCACTATGGAAGATGAAATTTTCTTGTTCCATTGATTTTTCTTATCTTGCTTAGTTTTCAGGAAAAAATGAAACAAGAAGACATAGGTCCATCCAAGACATCCATTGACATTACTCAATTGCCATAATTTTCATTTGGAGATTTCGACAATTTGTCAGTCACCGACCTTACTGAAACCTCAACGAAAACTAAGCTCCAAAACATACAAGTTTATACGGAGGTTTATATGAACCTTTCTCTTTATTTTTGCAAGTTATTCCTATTATTGTTTATCAAATTTTCCGGTATAAATTATGAAACACCCAGTATATCATACCACTGATACTTACTGTTGATTCGGGAAGGAATGTCCTCGACAGAAACATTTGTAGGTCTAGTTGGAGGCTTAGGTAGGATTTTCTCTGTCTGAGATGGGGTCGCTTCATCTTCGGAAGATGAAACATTTACTGGTTTCTTGTGTCGAATTTTTCTGGTCTGTGGTTCATCTTCTTGATTCAGGTCACTCAAATATTCTGCCACATTCAATTTTCTTCTGGCCTCTAAATAAGTATCTGAAATCAAATGAACATGATTCATATAGAGGGTGTCCCAATTTTTATATGATAAACTCCACAGACGTTTGCAATTGAGTTGATTTTGAAAGCTCTTCCTAGTATTGAACTCTGTATATTCTCAGAAATAATCAAAACAAATGCATAATATATATAATTTATATATACGTACCAAATGTCCCATTTCTGAAGATCTCCATCTTGTGTGATGGCCAATGAGTATTGGGAGCTTCGAAGTTTTTTATGGCAGTTACCAATTTTTCTCTTGGATATGGAGGCCAATAACATAAATTTCCTACCAGCCATGTTGTTGGAACAGCCTCCACAGTGTCCTCCTCGACAAATTTCACCACTGTCCAGGTTCTCCCAGACATTTTTCTATTTTGATAAATTGGCAAATGATTCACCAAATAGGTACAGTTGAACAAATGTACATGGTAGTTTATATGTGAAATATCACAAAACATTACATCAAGACAATAATTATGAAATATTAATATTATAAAAATATTGATTGGCCGAATTTCCCTCAAACATATGATTTGAATCACTTATAAAAATTATTGTGAAATAATTCAGATCGAAAGTACTGTATGCACCACTGACATTATGGACTTTGGAGTCATAATAAACTAGTTTTTGTAGTAGCCAATAATAATATGGAAAACATATTTCATCATGCAAAATAGTGTGAACTACTGTGAACAATTTATATAATTATATGTGCTCTTCACAAATTGATTTGATATATTGCCATTAGATGAATATTTGATTAATATAATTTTCTCAGAATTTGAAATATTATTCTTTCTCGAATTGTAGCCTTCAAACATATCCCCATTTCATATAAGGGGGGGGGGGGTGAAAATGTTAATTTTTTTCAAATGGAACACCCTATAATTTATTGCATATCTTGAAATAGTAAAATATATAATTTTCATACATTCCATGGAGTGATAGTGAATGAACCAAAGGAATAAAACTTGAGATTATTTGAAATTTTTCTCATGAAATCATTTGATTCAACTCAATTTGGGCTGAAACCAAGAAATTATTGAAAATATCGATTGTCAGTTGACCTGACAACAATTTAGACCCAAATTTCAATCAATTTCAAGTTATATAATCCCTTGATTAACCTAGTATCACTTCATGGAGAGAATTATATATTTTCGAAATCAGTAAAAACAGCTTTTTTTAAATATTCAATGAAATATAGTGTTTCATATGAAAAAATCAATGAAAAAATTAAACATTTTCACATCCACCGTATATGGAATAGGGATATAATGATTGAAGGCCACTATTCAATACAGAACAAAACTGATTTTAGTATTTGTTTCGAAGTTTTCAATATCTAAATTAGTTTTCGAGATATTGAGTGTATAAATTCAAGAACGGGCAGTTAGAGTAGTTTACACTATAGTAGGCAGTAGTAGACTGTAGGCAATCATTTAGAGATCTGGACATTTTGACATTACCATGTGTTCATTCTTGAATGTCTAAGCTGAGCTTCATCTACAATCATGAGGAAATTTCAAGAAATGTTAACTGCAAAAAGCATTTTTTTCATTTGATGAGGTTTTAAACTGTTATTTTATGTCTTAATAATTCACTTGTTTGATGTTGAATGTGTAGTTTTCAAGACATTTTAGATGAAATTATTTTTAACTGGGGAAGTCCCTATCCCTCTATGTATATGAAATTTGACCTGTGTAAATACATTTAATGTATAATAACACTAATAAATGATTGAGTTTTGAAAGTGTGAAATCCATACTCAATCACCCTGTACATATCGGATATAGGTAATTCAATATTCTGTAGTATTAGTCAGAAAAGTAGTTTTTTCTGTTCTCTGTTCTGATCCTCCTATTTCTAGAAGAATTAGGTAAATATTTTTTATAAACCTAAATTGCATGATGAAATGAATATTCTATGTAGTGTCATTCATAAAGTCAGCATCATATGAGAAAAACTTTCATCAATAACTCATTTTGAAATTCGACTTGCACGTTAAGTTTTGCTTCAAAAAAGCTGAAAAATCGCCTACTCGATCGGGGTCACGTGACTCGCTACATGTCAAAAGTTACATTTTTTCAATTTAATTGCTGAAATTGGGATTTTTTGTTTTAATATCAGTTCACTTGAGAAAGTTGTTTATATTTCAATTTTACACATGTGTCTCGAATTTGAACTTTCTACTGCAACTTTTAGATTTTGTGTTTTTTTTTAATTTTTCGAAAGTTCTGTAATATTTGAAGAATTGTTAATTCCACAAAACTACTTTATACCAGTAGCTTTATCATGCTCCTAACTTTCAATCACTAAATATCACTAATTTTGGACAAAAATACGATTTTCTTCAGAAAATGATATTCCCTGCTTCAAAATTCTGTTATGTTTGATGCAAAGTTGATGTATGGTCATTTAGAAGCGAAATCCATTTAAATGGACTTTGGCAACTTTTTAGTACTGGAAGAATCGATTCAAATGAATATCGCTTTAAAATGCTTGACGAAACATCAACTTTGCATCAACCATTACAGAATTTTTAAGCAGGGACTATCATTTTTTAAAGAAAATTATATTTTTGTCCATAATTAGTGATAATTAGTGATTGAAAAATAGTAGCATGATAAAGCTAATGGTATAAAGTAGTTTTGTGGAATTAACAATTCTTCACATATTACAGAAATTTGAAAAAATTAAAAAAAAAAACACAAAATCTAAAAGATGCTCTAGAGAGTTCAAATTCGAGACACATGTGTAAAATTGAAATATAAACAACTTTTTCAAGTATACTTTCTCGATATTCAAACAAATAAGCCCAATTTCAGCAATTAATTTGAAAAAAAGTAACTTTTGACATGTAGCGGTCATGCGACCCCGATCGAGTAAGCCATTTTTCACCTTTTTTGAAGCAAAAAGTAACGCTCAAGGCGAATTTCAAAATAAGTTGTTAATAAAAGTGTTTTCCATATGATGCCGATTTTATGAATGTCACTGTATACATGAAAGTTCACGTTTTAATTTTTTAATTTTCAGGATGAATGTAATATCGGAATTATCACATATTTGTCTTCAAATTCCAATTTCATGCATTTACCAGATATATCTTGAGAATTAATCAATTCAGGCAAACCAAAGTCACTAGCAAGAAATATTCCCAAATCAGAAGACTTACAAGGAGATTCATAAAAGTCTTCTAGTTTTAGCATTCTTTGAACTAATAATTTTACTTCTTTATCAATTTCCAAAATATTTTGTATGATGACTACTGAATGATCATTAAGATAACAACAATTGTCTGGTCCAAAAATAGTCAATAAATAGTTTTTGAATAATAATTTCTTGAATTGTTTAGAACATGTAAAATCAACTGGAAGAGGACCATTAGAATGTTCATTAGATGGTTCAGGATAATTTTTAGGGAGTGTGATCATTTTTGTTGTTTTGTTTGAGGATTCTTCCTCAACGATTCGATGTACAATCTGTTGCAATGGTTTATCAGTTTTACGGATATGCTTTTTCAAATTTTTCATGTGGTTCTCAAAAGGAAAGGCACTGAACATATCTAATGATCCAAATCTTTGAACATCATCACAAATATGTAGGAGATTATGAACATTGTGAGATACATTCTGAGCACCATACAAAATGATGAAAGACTCCACAAAATACTTCAACAATGCCCGACAATAGACTATGTTATGTTGCCACTGTGACTTGGCTAAAAATGACAATGATATATGTAGACACAGGAAGTTCAGATATTTCTCACTATTTAGAATGTTTTTCAGAATTACAGGACCCAAATAGAACAAAAATAATCTAAATTCAGTGGCCTTCCATCTTCTAGCTTCATTCAGTGACCTTGGCTTACGGTTGAATTCATGAGGTATATTTGAAGCCTGACTTAACAGTGATTTGGAAATATTTGAAAGCTGATGAAATGATAATCTGCTTGGAACTTTTCCATTCATCCACAAATTCACAATTAATTTCTTCATTACCCCCAAACACACCAAATGCATATAGTCCAAGGGAAAATCCTCAATCATATCAAGTCCAGGAATAATTTCCAGAATGGATGATCCTGTATGATGGTTCTCATCTACTTTTGATCTGAAATCTGAATCATTTCTCAAAGTGAAATTGTTTACATCTGGAAAACACACTCTTCTTTCCATGTAAACTCCTTCAATATTACATTTGGAACAAGAGTCATATCCACCATGTCCTCGAATATATTTTATATAAGATTTTGCAGGAACATCACAAATGAATGCTTTTATTTTCACCTGATATACATGGTTATTGAAAGGAATTCCATTATTTATAACTTCCACTGATTCATTCACAAAAAACTTCAGATAGTCATTGGCATCTTTTGGTTTTTCATTGCCATGGTATATACCTATGACTTCAACAATATTCTTGTTCATAAATAAATTGCAAAGAATTGGGTAAAGCTGACTTCCTGAACTTTTGGATAGTGGCAGACCATCAATATTTATACATACTTCCAATACATTGATATCATGCAATAAGAGTGATGAATGAGTAATCAATTTTTCCAAACATTTTTTGAAGCCGAAATGGCAATATGAACCAGGTTCAACTGATTCTAAAATAGTTTTTCTGGGAGTTTTAAGAAGTGTCCTTGCATCAAGAGGTATATCAGGGAAAGAAGGCTTCAGAATATTCAATAAATCATTGATAGCAATGTGTGATATATTGTGTTTCAGTGCCCATCCTGCTAAATGAGACTTGATTGTCATACTTTCTGCTGAATCAACATGTTGAGGAGAAATTTCATCAATATTATACAAATCAAAACTAGCATTTTCAGCAAGACTTTCAGCGATACTGCTACTACTACTTTTATTGCCTATATCATGATCTGAATCACCAGAATAACAATCTTCATCAGATATTATTGGTTCAGTAGAATTTACAGCCACTAGACAGCCCTCCATAGCACCAGTACTTTGAGCAGTACTTGTACAAGCAACAGGTAATTCATTTTCATCCTGAATAGGAGTGGAGCACATTTTTGCAGGATTTTGTTCATCCTCATCACCAGATATCTCTTCATCAGCTTTATAGGCAGGTCTTTTATAATATTTGTTGAAAATTGCATTTCTGGTAGTTTTTTGGTAATTCCTTTTCATGTTCAGAATTTCAGTTCCTACTTTTTTCAAATCAAAAGCAATGGTAAAATATAAGTAAACAACAAAACCCCTTTTTACACTCACCTCACTGCTGTAATATCCAAAATTCACTATATTTCAACAAATACCACCACAATATAACGTTACAAGATTTAAAACAAATTAAAATGCTTGAGCTTGTTTAACGAAAGCGAAAG